TTATTCTGGAATATTTGCTATTTTCTTAAAAGAATAAACTTGAAGGGCCTGCTTTATTTATGTGTTCAATGTGTTTCACATGTTGCAAATCAAGAATTTGGCATTCTCTGATTAAGTCAGATCATTTGCAGTGAAAACCATCTGCGTCCAGAAATCTTTACAACTTCTTCAAGGTACTGTTTACTACATGGAAAAACTTTACATTATATTACTAAATGGTTTAAACTTCGTTTAAATTCAGACATTTCCTTTGTTGTGTGAAGGTTTGTAAGTCCTTCTGTTTCCAAAGGAGGTGGAATGGCTCTAAGTCCTCAAATAAATAATGCTGAAATTACAAGAATTTTCATTGCTACCTTCACTGAGATTAGGCTTTTACCTGTGTCATGTGTGTTTATATACTGGCACAAATGTTTGATATCTGAGAATATTCTTTATTTGTAATGTCAGATATATGGCTTTATGTATTGCACTCATGCTTTGTAAATGTTGTAGTGAGTAGCTGTTGAGTCATTTGCTTAGAAAAGATTTTCTGTGATATGTTATTCTGAAATATTTCAGATTTATAATTCCATTGATCAATATTTCATATAGTTTCCTTTTTCTTCTTCCTCTTTTCATATAATGCCTTTCTTCAGTTTGTCTTGTGCTGAAAGCAGGCTTAAATCAAAAGTCTGTCCTTTAAGGCTTTCCTTCTATGAATTGGTTTGTTTATTTCTGGTACAAGGTGCCTGTAAAGGATGTTCCTGTAGTTATGACCAACAGAACCATTTTGTACGTAACCTTCTCTTGCACAAATGACTCAGTCACAAGAGAGTGTAAGCTTATTTTCACAAGTACAACAAACAAGAACTAGGCATATTTGGTAACTATTTTGTAATCTTTATAGTTTCATAAGACTGTCTTGACCCTCTTAAGGAGTTGGTCACAGGCTTCTTTTTGTATTTTAGGCGTATTTCAGTTTAACAAATCTCTTAATACTCTCCTTGTGGTAGTAAAAAAAGCTAGAAATATTAAGTGTTAGTTTGATGTAAATGGTTTCCGGTAACTTACAAAACCACAGTCGTCTTACTTGCCTCTAGATTCACTCCGTAACAGCACGTTTCAGATATAAATGACTTGTACTGTTACACACTTCTCTTATCGCTGAGGAGGAGCAGAATGAACAAGCTAACTTTGCTGGTTATTGTTAGTAGAAAAACACTCAGAAGACTGAACCCCAAATTCAGAACAAGCCTGCACATTGCCAAATAGCTAGGCTTATCTTTCCCACTAACTATAAGGTTTCACATACTCAGTTTTACTGGTGATTTTTTTTTTCTTTGCTAAGGTTGCAGTTCCACTTTTAATACTTACTCTCCATAACTGTAATGGGAACCTAGTAAAACTGATGATGGCTTTTGGAAATGTTTGCATGTTCTAGAATACTTATGCTTCTGTTCAATAATTTTTAGAAACATTTTAATCTTATTCTAAGCTTTTGTATCTTTGATGAACCAAAATACTGTCCAAAGTCTATATGACAGATAATACTGATGTTGCAATTGTTGAGTTTGACAACACAAGTTTGACTGTTTTCCTGGGAGGAGGAGATCTCTGAAAGATCTTTTGTCAGTAACAGAAATGAAAGCTGCGGAATTGGAGCTGGAACCAGTTTATTCCATCTTAATTAACACTTTTTTTTTTTTTCCCTCTCCCCCCCTCCAGGGAGGCAATAATGCAGGGCATACAGTTGTTGTGGATTCTGTGGAGTATGACTTTCATCTTCTGCCAAGTGGGATCATCAATCCAAAAGTCACTGCATTCATTGGTAAGTGGGACATCTCTAAAAAATAGGCAATGCTCCAGTAACAGACTTCTGACATATTAAAATAACAAAATATATCTGAGGACATACAGGATCAGGATTTTTTTTTTTTCCTCAAATTCTCATAGACCTGAACTGCTCTATCATCCTAATGTTGTCTTGACTCGGTTGTGAAGTCTGGATTACGGAGGTTTCTTTTATTGTCTTGGATAGTTCATTTTTGTTCTTCTCTGTCCTATCAATGCAAACAGCTAGCCTCACAGTGTATCTTCATTCTCCCATTCCCTCATATTTTCTCTGCCAAGTATTTCTTTTATTCTCAGAATTCCTCCTCTGTTTTAATCTTCAGCTCTGCTAAGTAGCTATCAGTACTTTTTGAAACATAGATCTTTCCTCCCTTTTCCATTGGACTGTGAAATGAATGCTGACTCCAAAAGACTTCTGCATTATGCAGTTCCTACCAAGAAGTCCTCTCAAGTTTAGGGCAGTGGCAGTACTGCATGATGTCATGATCTATGATCTGTTTGCTTCCTGAAAGGGAGTTTAGATTGTGCTGTCTGTTGTCCCTACAAGCGTACTTATCCTGCTTCCTCTCTTGGAATCCTGTATCCAATCCTACATTTTGTTTTATTTTTTTTACCTTTGGATTGCTTGTATGACCAACCTACTTTAATAATGCTGTGTAGCCCTTAAAATTTCCTTATAAAAATGAAGGTAAATACATAACATGTCTACACAGCATTATAACTATGCACATGCTTGTGTGCTGTTTCAAAAATCAGGTCAGTCTCTGGGTCACTAAAGGCTATGACCTATCAACAACTTCCATCCTGCTTTTTTGATACCCAGAACTCCTGTCCCTTACACAGTGTGCTTCTCCAAATTAGGACTCTCTTGCCCTGCTCTTCCTGTCACTTCTTCCTGCATATCTTACTGCTTTGAGCCTGTAGCTTGGTACCTGTGCCAAGAGTAAGTGGTCATTGACAGTTTGCTAAACAGCATAGCAACTTAAAGAGCCTCTGTCGCTAGTTGTACTTGCTGTATTCTTAACTCTTTACTTGTTATGGGAATTGGTGGTTAATTGCCTCTTTTCAGCTGTTACATTGCGACTTAATAGTGAGATAGTTTTGGATCAACTTGCCCTGCCTAATACTTCTGCAGAAATTGAGCCAATGGCATGGAAATCGATTCCCTCTGATGAAGGGGAGGTTAAGATGTTAACTGCTTCTAGTTCTGAGGGCTGTGGCACATGAGACTACTTTTATTCTCTTTTAATGTGTTACTGTATTATGTTTCTTTAAAAGGTTATTGCTTGAAAATAGTAAAACAAGATGCCCATTTGCCATGTTTTGTTTGGTGGACTTGGGGTTGAGTAGGAAAGACCCCATCCTTTAAAGATACAGTAGGCAGGAGAGAGCTTTTTACAAATCCTCTTGTCTGTGTCTGCTATCTCTTGTCTTGTCCTTGTCTGTTCTGAAGTTTGTTGTTCTAGCTTCTTTTAGGTCTGCCTTGTGTTTAAAATCTCTTTTGGGGGAAAAAAAATACCTGGCTTATAGGGCTTATGGGTTAAGAAAAAAAAAAAAAAGAGCGAGGGCAAAATGATTGCAGCATTATAGTAGATTATTACTATTGATTAGGACTGTACCATGAAGGTTGTAGTGAAGAAGTCTTAAATACTTTGTATTTTTGTGTTCAGAATGCTTTTATCTATGTGAAATTAGGTGATATACAAATAGTTCCAAATGGCAGGTCCCTTCATTCTTTAGTTAGATGTTACACTGATAGCTTTGGATCTACTGAGTTTGGTATGACCTTAAGATGGTTAAGTTTTGCTATTTGGAAATGCTCCTTCTTAGGCAGTCAGTGATGCTGATTAATTGTATGAGCTAGTAGTCTTTTTCTGAGCAATGTGACAGCTGTAGGAAAGCAAGCTTGCTTTTGATAGAGCTTTATCCTGTGTTATTTTTGCTAGTCTGCTAACAACCCCAACTCTATATATGGAATATTCTGTGTTTATTTACAGCAGAAGAGTGCCTGAGGGGATGCTAGTGTTTATAATGAAGATAGAAATGTGCTAAGTTTTTTAAAAAAACAATAGGGTTATTAAAATGAAGTACAAAGAGGGAAGTTAATTTTAGATATGAGGAAGAGGAAGTTGCATTCCGGACTGTCCCACAATGCTGTTACTGTTTGTCCTGATCCAAACTGAAAGTTTGAGTTTATTAAAAAGATTCAATGCTTGTAGTTAAAAATGAATACTTTAGGTGTAAATCAGTCTTTTACAAGAATAAAGATTGCCATGTCTTGGAAGTTTAAAGACTTAAATAATATAGTCTGCATAAAAAACATGAAGTGTCTTTGAATTGTTTGGAGTATTTTTTTCCATGCTCAACATAATTCATTCAATTCTGTGTAATGGTTTTCTTCAGGGAATGGTGTTGTAATTCACTTGCCAGGACTCTTTGAAGAGGCCGAAAAAAACTTAAAGAAAGGAAAAGGTGAGAAAATTTTAAGATACTGGTCTTAAAGTAGTTTGTGGGGCCCTCCTCAAAAGATTTATATAGAGGATGCCTCTGTAGAGGTTATGTACAATGTGTTTTTCCAGAATTCCATTTAGCTGCTAGTTTCTGACAGGAGTCTCGCTAGAAGTCCCAGGGCCATCATGGGAAGACGGACAAAAGGAATCTCTGTACAGGTTCAGAAGAGAACATGTTCCAAATATGAATTATCCGCAGGCATTTTTCTTTGCTTAAAGCGGTAAATTTAAGAAGTGAAACAACTTGTTAAAGTGTGTTAGCTGTTCATAGTAATTTTACCTCTTACAATATTAGTGGACAGTTTGATGATACAGTCTGCTGTAAGTGAGGTAAATCAATGGTCTAGATTATTCAAAACCGAAAAGCTACTAATTGATTGCTGAAATTGAGAAACTAGTAGAACAGCTAGAATTCTTCCTCAGAATAAGCTTGACTCTCTCAGCTTTATAGACTGATGCCAAATTTTAATTATTGAAATCTACTTTTTTTTTCTCTGGAATGTGATTGCTTTAAATAGATTGACTGAAGGCTAAACATGAAAAGTATTTATCCTTTATACATCAGAAGACAAAAATGCTATACAAAACATAATCTGAACTATTTAATTTTGTCTTTTAAGGGCTAGAAGGCTGGGAAAAAAGACTAATAATTTCTGACAGGGCTCATATTGGTAAGTTCCTTTTTGTGGTTTGGGTTTTTTGATGATTTTTTTTGTTGTTGTTGATTTTTTTTTTTTTTCTCTGAATTTTCCATGGCAGTAAAAGCATGACAATTTTTAGCCAACTCTTTAGATAGATAAGTACTTTTCTTTGGGTTAAGTCTCTGTATGCTGCTTTGGTTTATTGAAGATCCTAGAAAAAAATCATTCACCACTCAGGATGCTCCCAGGTTTATATTCTAGTGACTTTTTAATCCTATTGCAATAAGCATAACCTTGTCAGGAAAGCAGGTTCACTTTCCAAGCCAAAGATCAGAGGTGCAGAGCAGTCAAAAAGCAGTTCAGAAGTTAATTGACTGAAAGATTCATTTCCCCCTTTGGTGTAAAAGCAGTGTTGTTTATAGCAACTTCTCTGCTGGGAAACCACGTGACTGGGCATGACTTCCAAACTAACGGGCTCCCTACCAAGTAAATTGCCATGTACTTCAGAAAGGAGACTTTATGGGAAGGACTCTATAGGGATGGAGAGAATGGCTGCCCTCCACACAGGGACCTCATCAGTCAAGCGTTGGTTCCAGCCTGTGTTTCAGACAACTCTGCGATTCAGAGCCTGGAGTAAAATAGTGTTTAGAGTCCAAACCACTAACACAGAGCTTCAGAGGCTTTTCCTGTGTCACTCCTAGGACATCTTTATTATATAAATATTTCCTTTAAATTAGATCTTTAGATATTGTAACATAATAGTTGCATAACTGCATATATTAGGAAGTGGGCTTATTGCTGCTCTGGTAGTCATCTTTTGAAGTTACAAACTTTTTAGGTCTTTATTAGATAAAAGCTTCTAACATCGGAAAAAAAGGTTTTGCTTTTCGTTTTGCTTTTTGCATTTGTGTCTTTGGGTTTTTTTGTTGTTTTAAACTGATCTGACATAGCTTAATGAGTGAACATACTATTTCACAATAAATATGTTTTTACGTTGGAGTAACTGTTGAGTTTGAAATAGTTGAGTAACTGTTCCTAAGTTACTAAAATCCTTCTGAGATTAGAGTCACAGTAGATTAATTACTTGGAAATTACTAGGTTCTTAGAAAAAATACTCTGCGATGATTATATTACAATGACAATACTGTGAGGTTTTCAAAGCTAAACAGGTCCTGAGTAAAAAGGACCAGGTATTGACTGTCACTGATAATCATTCAAGCTCTTAAGACAAATGAACTTTCAGAATGCTTCTCTTTAGAAGGTTTTGGTGACAGTCTGGAGATCTGTTGCCATGATAAATATGCCTTCTCTAAAATGGGTATTGGAGATCTCTGAATGGCTAGTCTGTAATAAAAGATCAACTAAAACTAGGTTCAAGCTGCTGGGGATAATCTAATCCTTTAAATTATGAGGATGTGTGGAAATAAACACAAAAATAAATTGGTGAGACAAACAACGAAAACCACTCTTGTTCTAGAGAGACTAGACTTATTAAACGAGTCTGTTTCTTGCAAGTTTTCGGTCTTTCCTGTGGAATGTGTGGATTAGTTGTTTAACATTTAGGGCGATAGTACTTAAGAAAAATAATCTGGCTTCTGTTAACCCGCAAACTGTTGCAACACTGTATTTGACATGAGTTTTGTCAGATTTTTTTTGCTTTAATAGTAGACAAAGAATTTGGGTAAGGAATACATTGCGTAATCTTTGTCATTAATAATATGTAATGCTTTAAAAAATTAATCAGCTTGTGAAGATGACTTCTGTGTACATAACAGGTATTGGTGAGAGCTTTTGTATTTCCAATTGTGTTTTAATTGATGTTGTCTAGAACATAAAAATAAAATGGTGTAAGAAATCTTTAGAATGAATGAGAATGTTTACTTGAAATTCCCACCTTAAATTTAAGCAGTAAGATGTTTTTTACTAGAACCTGTTTTCCAGGATTTTTTTTCAACTGCATGTTTTCCTTGTTTCCTTGTTGTACATACATTCTTTTGGGCTACAACAAAGCTGAAATGGCTTATTTATTCTGTCGGAGGTGTATACGCAGTCTGCAAGTATTCTATAAAATAAACACTTGGGGAAAAAAAAAAGAAGTCTCTGAAAAACCTCAGAACTCTTTCCTGTGAAAAAATGTAACTTGTGAAAGAGGAGAAAAAACTCATCATTTTATTTGCCTTTCTTCAGTGTGTATTTTTTTGTTTTCCACATTAATAAACAGGCTACACTTGGTTTGAATAAATTGTTACTGTTAAGGTAATTTGTTTCACACAAATTTCCTACTTAAGTTTTTTTTTTTTTTTTTTTTTTAGTATTTGATTTCCACCAAGCTGCTGATGGCATCCAAGAACAACAGAGGCAAGAACAAGCAGGAAAAAAGTAGGTAGTTTTATTTTGTCAAACATAGGATGACTTAGTACAAACATATGACTTCATAGGTTGGATTTCTATTATTGTTTGTCACAGAGTTTAAAAGAAGTATTAATTATTCTTGCAACTCTTCAATGTGGAGTATGCAGGGATCACTGCTTACACTTTTGTCCTCCAGTGGCTGGCAAAGAGTATATACTTAATGAAAGGGTTGTATCTTGATATTTTGCCTTATGAAAAAGTTCCTAAATTCCTAGTTCCTAATTTGCTTTATAAAAAGGGTTCCTGCTTCATAATGTTTTACTTGTTGACCGGAGGTATTTGTTTCTGTAAAAAATGTATTTCTGTATGAAGATTGAAGGACCCCTTTATCATCTCCAAATAACTGTAAGGTCTGATATGACTAATTTGGTATCTCACAACACTTCATTGTCAGAAGTGCATGTAAAAATGTTTGCATTGTGTACTATGTGCTGCTACTGACTTTCTGAAGCTTTTGAAACTTCTAGAAACCAGATGCTATGTTTCTAACTTGTGATTTCCAAGTAGCTCAGTAGTTCTTGGGGATGGGGAAAAAGCTGGAAGAATTAAGTGTGACATGTCTACAGCTGGAAAGCATTGCAGCACTATAGACTTCTGAGATACCAGTAAACTTAATCTCTCTTCTTGGAAGTTTGTCCATGTGGATGAAAAGTAATTCAGTCTTCCTTACTGAGACCTGTAAAAGGTATAATCCATGAGAATAACCTTTAAGAGAGTGTCTGATTTGGGCATATCTTGCTTCACACAGGTTGCTATTGAGTGATAACTTGTCAATTATTCTTATACTGGGTCATTTTCACACTTGACTGTGCTGAACCAGCGGTCTCATTAACTGTTATTTTAGGAATTAAAAAGTAAATGGGAAGAACATACACATATATGGAAGAATACACATCTTTTTTTTTTTTATGAGCCAGTATGTGTATATCAGCTATTCTTGAATGTTTATGGAGCACAGGCTAGAATTGTTATGACATTGTGTGCAGTTAAAACTACTGTCAGTCACTCAGCTACTTGTGAGAAGGAACTACTTTATTAGTGTTAAAGATTGTAAGGGAGAGTCCAATGAAGAACTAACCACTTTTCTCCAATTAATTTGTTTTAAATAAAAAAAAAGTTACATTCAAAGCTGAAAACCAAGTCACTCTTAAAAGTGCTATATTTCTTCTTTCTGTGGGGTTCTTGACAATTCTGCAACAATCATACAGTTTTCAAGCTTGTTGAAACTGCTGATGGATTGAAGGCTACTATCTATTTCCTTGTAAATGTTAAGGCTATCAAAGTGACTGTAGTGGGGGGAGTACTACTACAGGCTGGCTAAGAGCAGGCTCTCATAAACTGATTATCAAAAGACTGTCTCCTGTTTGGTGGTGGTGGTGAATTGAAATAGCCTGCTAACACGACAAACTGCACATTTGACTGCGTAGCATATTTGGTATTAAAATTCTTTTGTGTCTAACACTTCAGAGTTGATCATTATAAATAGTAAGTTTGTTTTTCATTTTAACTGAATGCTTTTATCTGTTCAAATGTAGCTCAGAAGCAGTCACAAGTAAGGCTCATGTAGCTTCACTTGCAGAAAGGTTATAGAAAAAGTAATCTAATATAGTATATTATGCTTATACAATTGTTTTAACTTCTATAAATACAGTCTTCTGACAGCTTAACTCTTTTATGAATTGGCATCTCTTAATGAAACAAAATAAGTGGAACCAACTCCTTAAAAAAATTCTCTGAGGGTATGAATTGGGGTGGAGGCTAGAGTCAATTATTTAAGCCACAATGTCCTGGTCTGGTTAAATGATACCATGTAATGCAAAGTTGATACAGGTTTTTCTTTTCAGACTGCAGGCAAATGTATCGCTCCCTGAGATTACTCACTATTGAGTCTAATCGGAATAATTTGGTTTTTTCCAAGATTATTGTTTTGAATCTACTCCAGATTACTAATGACCTAACTAAAATGAATTATGTACTGATTGTGAACTGTATTTCCGTTCACTCACATATCAATTGATACCCTTTAACATAAAGTTATGACCTCTACCTTCTACTTGAAATGGAGTCGCTCCTGAGCTGAGTTATGGTATGGTACCTTCAAGGCAGTTTGAAGAAATCTGGGCCGCTCTGCATATGCAGAATTAATAATTGAAGAAGATAAGGCTTTGCGTGTCTGCTCAGGCAGGAAAAAAACCAAAACAAAACAGTTAAAACTAAGTGCAAAACTAACCTTACCAATGTATAGCACACTTCTTAAAATGCTGCACACCTGTTTGCGTCTCCTTAAAAAGTTACTTAACCTTTTGAGAGTGATGAGGAAGATGTTTGATAATCTGCCTATGAAGACTGCAGTTTGGCTCCATTTTGATAGCTGTTTAGCAAGACTCTGGCAGAAGACACTTTCTGAACTAGCTGTACTTCTGACAGTAAAGTCAGTGCAAGCAAGTTGTATCTTATGATATCACTGACTTAAGCTGAAAAAGGCTTTTCAGGCAGAGTGGGTAGGTCAGGGTAAGAAAAAGAATTCAGGTTTTCAGAATCAGCTACAGTGGAAAAATCTATTCCTGAACCCTTTCTAATGTACAGCGTTTTGAGTATCGTTGTCACTCTTAGATGCTCAACAGTGTTTTCTGTTTTCCTGGCTCCACCTGAGGCATTTAGAATTAAATTAAATATTTATTACATACAAACTTCAAATCCATACTGTTTGTGCTGTTGCTTTATGGAGGACTTTCTTTAGGGAAGTGTTTAGTTAGTTTCAGGTCATACTGAAGGATGTTGTCCTGGCATCCAGTTCCTTAAGTATGAAAGTTGGGAATTGTGTACAAATAAATACTAAGAGTTCAATAAAGTATGAAAAGTTACTGGTTTAAAACCAGATGCATGTAGGAGATTAATATATTTATGTCTATAAACAGTGACATTCTGAAACTAAGTTGCATACTAGAAGTATTTCATGTTTTAAATGCTTAAAACAAGGTTCTAAATGCTCACAATTAACAGCATTTCATTCTATGCTAAGGATGTATTAGCTTTAAAGAAAAAACACCTTAGTTTTATATCAAGAATAACTCCTGTTATTATCTTTTGAAAGTTTGGGAACTACCAAAAAAGGAATTGGTCCAGTATATTCTTCAAAAGCAGCTCGAAGTGGACTCAGAATGTGTGATCTTGTTTCTGATTTTGATGAATTTTCTGAGAGGTAATTTCTGTATTTTAATGCACGGTTTTAAGCGTAGTTTTCTGTTTCTGGGTAGTACTTTGTGTAAGCAATTACATCTGGTTGCTGTTACTTTTTAAATTAAAAATTATTATAAAATATGAAAATAATTTCATCTATAATTTTATTAAATTATCTATTTATAATTGTTAAATTATTTTATTGTTTAAAATTGTTTAAACACCAAATAATTGCCGATATTTGACTAGTAAAACCTAAGCTTGGTTGGGGCATGAGGAGGAAAGCAAACAAACAAAAACCTTAGTGAAGCATTTTTGCCTTCCAGGTTCAAACTGTTAGCCAATCAGTACAAAGCGATATATCCTACCTTAGAGATAGATATTGAAGGGGAATTGAAAAAGCTCAAGGTAAGCCTGCTTCTATCTGTTAAATGATTTAATCACTGCATGCAGATACTGATATGTAAATCTCTTGGTGACTGATGCTTGTGCTTGCATGAGGAGTTAAAACTGATTATCATGGGAAATTGCTACATATCAATTTTAAGAGTCTGCTAGCATCCTTAAAGACACTTTTGACCCTGTTTTATGCAGCATTTCAAAACTTGTTTTCAAGAGAAATACTGCAAACTTTAAGAAAAAGGCTTATATAGGGAGAATTATTTTTGACTTCCACTTGCCCAAACATACTAGCTAGGAGAAAAAAACGCAAGATTGTAGTTGGGGAAGGTGTGTTTCATTGTAAAGCAGAATATTAATTCCTTGTATCAGAAACTTAAGAACAGAAGTAAATTATTATTCTAAGTAGTAAGCCTTAAGGAAAAAAAAATACTATCTAACAACATGGAAAAATTGAAGTTGATAGCAGCAAAACTAATGAAGTCTGATTGTCAGCAAACTAGTCTTGTGATTATTTATGAATTCTGATGTTTTTCCTGAAGTTGGGACAGTTGTGAGATTTCTCACTAGCATTAATTCTCTTACACCTAATAGCGCGATTTTTACTGTGCACCAAAGTTCTTATTTGAAAAAATTGTCAGGTGTCTTACCCAGTCTTTTTGTTCATGCATTTTATAGAAACTTAACTGTATGAGATTTTTACCCCTTGTCAAATTTGGTTGAAGTTTTCCAAATTGTTTAAAACCATTGAGGTATGTGTGGAATAGGGGAGGGCGTGCACAGCTACGTGTTTAATTCTTTCAGAAAATCAGTCCAAAGAAGTCAACTTTCTTACATTTTTAGTTGCCACTAAACTCAGTTTACCAGCTCTAGAATGGAGTATATGGGAGTTCTTAGCACTTCTGTTTGTCTTGCTTTAAATAATATGTTATACATGTTGAGTTGTAGTATTTTTATCAATACGTAGACCTAAAAAATCAGTTACAGTTGAATGTTAGATAATGCTTTATAGTTTACTTAATACACATTAGGATTACAGAATATCTGAAACTCATTGCTAAGGTGGAAACATAATATGTATTTGCAGCTTGAGGAAAATTACTTGTACTTAATGTTTGTTTTATGCTAATGGACTTGATTAAATTCTGAAAGACAAAACATCTCATTAGCATAAGAACTTCCATATGTTCTCATGGGGAAAAAAGGCAGTGTACCAAGTGTTAATCTGAACGTTACTGGCTTCTTACATCCAGCTACTCAGTGGCATTCAGGCACTTGACCCTTAATTCCAGTGAATAACTTTTTAGTTTTACTTACAAGCGTACCTGTGTGTATATATATATATTTATCACAAATTAATGCTGCTTTACAATTGTGTGCATTTGTTGGCTTCAGAGAGCCAGAAGTGGAACCCCCCACATGCTGGTTTTGGGGGAGAAATTTTGAACACTTGGAAATTAAATACTGAATACAGTAAAGTATTGTGATTATGCTCAAGCTTGAATGTTTCTAAAGCATTTCAAAAAATTGGATTTTATTTATTTATTTATTTCCTTTTTTCCCCTCTTTTTCTTTCTTTCCGTCCAGGAAAAGCATACACCTCTATTGGTTAAATCTGAGTCTAATATTCTTCCTTCCCTTGTTCACATATTATGGCATATTTAGCATTTCTTTGTTTGCTTTTCCTTTTCCAAAGGAATAGGAGCATTGTTATGAAGGAGCAATAGCACTTGTACTCTGGCTGGCTTTATCATGATGAAATTATACTATACAGTAGTCTTTTGTATTATTCAGGGCTGCATGGAAAAAATAAAACCAATGGTAAGGGATGGCGTTTATTTCATGTATGAGGCTTTACATGGACCACCAAAGAAGATCTTAGTAGAAGGTGCAAATGCAGCACTGCTGGACATAGATTTCGGTAAGTATAACCTTTTTGAGTCGTGTTGCTATATACTTATGTATAAGTACATAACACTAAATATAAAACTCTTCTGTGATAAGCTGTTCTTATGGCAGAATTGGTTTTTGTATTTTGGAAGAACGGTACTCTCTGACTATTAAACAATTAGAGGGGAGGAAAAAAGTTTTTAATTAAATTCTTTCAAAAAGCTTTAGACTCTCACAAGATTAATTATTTGAATGACAGAAAAGTCACCTGCTCTTTAGTTAAATAGAGTGTAGCTATTACTTCACTGTCTACAAATTTCATATGAAATAACTCAGTTGTATACATCAATGGAAAACGCTTGAGAAGAAAAATGGAGAGCTTTGAGAGGCAAAGTGTTAATGCAAAATACTTGTTGACTTTTGAAGAATCAGCTTGTGTTTTTTTAAAACCCTTTGTATAGTACTTAGTTCTCCACTGTTTCACAATGTAAGAAAAGATGTTGGGAATCTGGATTGCTAATGAGGCAAGAATGAAAAGATTATCCCAATCAATTTGAAGTTATAAATGGTGCCATTTTTCTTAAAACACTGTAATTTTGCTAATAAAATTAAAAGCTTCTTGATAGGAGCAGCTTTTTTTATGAGATTATTATGTTACCATTATATTGTAAGGGCAGATAAATAATTACACCTCTGTATAGGCATAAGCAGCCTATATGATCAGCTCCTGCATTTTGTCACATTTTTCTTCAGTCTCACTAGACTTGTTACTGCATCATTTTTGTTGTTGGAAAGATGCTTAAGCCTGAAATTGAAGCCTGTAAGCATTACTGTCAAACAAATACAAAATTGGCACGCACTCTGCTTTCAGCTGATAGGAATTCTGATACTGGGCATTTTCAAACGTTTGTTTGAGAGTTTGAAAGCCTCTTTTAAGTGGAAACTATGTCTAAGACTAGTCACTGTTAAGTGTAAGCACCAAGTTTTCCCATGATAATGGGAATATTGGAAGAAACTGAATATCGGAAGAAACTTCCTTTTTTAACAAGTGGGGAAAAAAGAGGAAAGAGGTCTTCAAATACACTTGTCACAGGGAAATGTTTGATGCAAACCAGAGATTATTTGCAGAAAACTCTAGAGGGGGTTGTTTTTTGGAAGTAGTGAGGATTTTAGATTTCATGTAAGGGTAGGAAATGCAAATAGTCTGAACCTCATCAGGTATGTCTGTAATGCATACAGAACCGCTTGGGTGACTTAGATCTTTCTCCTGCCTGTGCTGTGAGACCCACACACAGAGAACATCTGCTCTCCCCTTTGGTGGATATCATCAGTGGGTCGGACACTTGGGTTAACAATAGACAAGTCCTAGTCAAAAGATTTGACAAGGCCAAATTTGATTATTGAACATTCAGAATGAGACTATTTTATGTGCTTTGGTGCACAGAAGTCTTAATACTGAAGTGAGATTTGTGAAAGTGTGTTCGTTGGCAGTGAAGGTGGTAACTCCCCAGCCTTGCAGTCCATCCCACTTTTCTGGAGCATGTAATGAAGCTCGCATGTGCATGTGTCTGGAGGTGAGGGTGTAGGTATTGGGGGTGTGTGGTCTTCTCTGTTTTTAAACATTGAGTGAGGATAAACCAATGTCAGTATACCAAGCTGGGAGCTGAAAACGTGTAAGACTTGTCTCACTGGCTCTGCTTGTGACATCTACTAGCTATATTTATCTGTCAGTAAAGAAAAGCTCAACTACTGTGTCCTAAGAAAGGTAAAGAGTCCTTGCAAACTGCTGTTACATATCACCTGTGAGCCTATGTCTTTCTCGTGAGAGATTTGAGCTAAAGTAAAAGAAGCTAGAGATACCTGAAGCTACTCTGCAAAACCTCTCTGAACAGTCTCTGAAGGATTTTGACTTTTTAAATTTGTCTGTATTGCTTTCAGTTCCTTTTTGTCTTGTCTGTTCCTCTCTTGCCCATTTGTCTCTCTTATACCAAAAGAAAAAAAATATGTCTGAAGCATGAGGTAGAAGTCTCTTGCTTATATGTAGTTACTGTGTGGCTGAAGCATTTGTTCACAATTCAAATAAAATAAGGACTGGCATGTTCTGTTTCATCTTCCATTACTAAAGATTCTGAGCTGTTTAAGTCTTTTATCTTTGCTGTGCAGGCTGCTTTTTAAATGAGGGCTGAACATTTAGCTAGAGACAACCTCTCACCGCTAATGAACTAGACTATATCCCAGGATTCTTTTTTTTTTTTTCTTTAATTGTAGAAATAATTTTTTTCATTTGATTATATAAGCAAAATAGTTCTTTCCAGAATTCTACACTTCTTGCCCTTATAATGTGCTGACAAGTTTGTAGAGCTTGTATTCTATTTTTCCTCCCAAAATGAAAAACGGTAAACCTCTATTTCCTAACCTTTTAATACTGCTTTCTTAAGAGTCTCCCTTCAAATTTTCACATTGTTCTATTAGTGAGTATATTTTATGTAAGATAGGAAGGTATGGTTTTCTAGTGTCTTACTCCAATTTTTGACTTGTATGATCATTCAGAATTGTTATGTAGTCAACTTTTGCCTCTGTACCAGTTGAAGTAAGTGCAAAGATTTCTACCTTTTTCAATAAAGAAAGATCAGACAATGCACACACAAAGCTAAGAGCTCATTAAATATGTACTTGACTGCAAAATAAATTTATTGCATGTTTTGTTTTGGCTTTTAGTATTTTAAAACCTAGGTATGTGCAATGCAAGTACTATTCTTCACCAGGCTAGAATTTTTTTAATGTATATTTTAAAACCAGTGTTTTAATAAGTTTTTAAAACCTTTTTTTTTTTAATAGGCACATATCCTTTTGTGACTTCATCAAACTGCACAGTTGGAGGTGTGTGTACAGGTCTGGGTATGCCACCGCAGAATGTTGGGGAAGTGTATGGAGTTGTGAAAGCATATACAACAAGGGTTGGAATTGGTGCCTTTCCTACAGAACAAAATAATGTGAGTGTTATCAGCCCTAGATGTGACCTGTAACTGGGTGAAATAACTTAGTGTGTCTGTCTTACGTTAAATCAGTGTTACCGATTAAATGCAAGTAGATGATGGTGTATATAGATGTCTTGTTCTTATGATTCTAGACTGAGCTTATAGGACTGCCAAATCGGATTGTCAATTTCTCAGACCTTCCTATGGAATTGAAGGCTAGAGCAGGAACAAATTTTGAGAGATTTGCTCAGTGTTCTCTTGAATTAGAAATAGCATTTTGTATTTCTATTTTGATCCCAATGGACAACTTTGTGAAAAATTGGGGGAAGAACTTTTAATGTAATTTACAATCTGGTAAAATGTTAAGTATACACCTGCATCATGTATTGCAAATAATAAAAAAAAAAAAAGGTTGATGTAATAGTATTATTCTTTGATAGGAAATTGGAGAATTGCTGCAAATGAGAGGTAAAGAGTTTGGTGTTACCACTGGTAGAAAGAGAAGATGTGGCTGGCTGGACCTTGTGCTACTCCGATATGCCTACATGATTAATGGATTTACTGCGTGAGTTATTTTGACAGCTTTGCTGGCAACTTGACATTAAATCATGAAATGCTACAGATTACTGTAAACTGTACATATACTAGTTAGTAGCAGTCAGACTGTTAGTATTCATTTGTTGATTGTTTTGATATTTTGATAAATTAACTGTCCCTCATTTTTCCTGGCATTAAATGTTTTTCTATTTCATACTTCCATACTCATAAATTTTTCTTCCTTTTGTAGCACATGATTATTTCTTGTTTAAAATGACCCAAGAAGCACTTATGTGTCTTAGTACTTGATGCTTCAAGCTACCCCAACCGCTGCCATCCCACCAAACCAAATCAAACGCCTTACAAGGGCCTTAAAACCTGATATAGTTTGTGGGGTTTTGTTTTGTTAGTTTGTTTTCAAAATAAGACAGATGGGAACCCATCAGTATCTTCAGCAGATCTGTAAATGTAAAAAATTTTAATATAATTTTGGGATTTTAATTAAAATGAAAAATAGGTGTCTCAAGCAAAACTGGTATAAAATTTCTAGTAGATCAAACTGTGTAAATACATGCTTTACTTAAATTTTCCTGTTTTTCTTGTCCTTTCTGTTTTTTGTTTAAAATAGGATGCAGCCAGGTATTTACAGAGCCAGTGTTTGATTATTTTGCTGCCTTCACTGTAGGACAGGAACGTTTGGCAGAGGACAGGAACAGACAGCAACAGGCATCATGCGATGAAACAACCTCAAATGAATGATCATAAAGTATCTTGGCAGCACCCTGACCAATTAAAATTCTAACACTTAAAGCTGTAGGCCAGCCACTTTAATTGGAGAATACTTGTTCTTTGAATTTTGCCATTTTCTTAGAGTACTAGATCTAAGGAGGCAGCAAAGAGGCTCTTTAAGTTTTTTGGTTTGGTCTGGTGTTTTTTTTAAAGTCACACCAGATACATAGATTAGTGCCATACAAGCTATTTTTCTAAGGAAAGACAATTAATTGCAATGTGCAGGAATCCATTTTTCTCTAGGTATTTTTACAAAGTGATGAGAGTTGAGAGTTATTGAACTTGTTTAACCAGAGTAATGTTTCTTTATAGATTGGCGCTTACCAAATTGGATATCTTGGATGTATTTCCAGAAATAAAAGTTGGTGTTGCATACAAACTAGATGGTGAAATCATACCTCATTTTCCTGGTAAGACTGCTTGTTTAACAATTTTAGATTTTGGTGAAATGTAATCTGATACTGAAATGCATTTGACTTTTACTTGTGAAATTTATGACAGGAATGTGTTACTTCAGCATCAAGCCATTAATGTCTTCCCAGATGCACCATGATGCCCTGTACCACACCTGTACCTGCACCCTAAAGACACCTGTACCAAATATTTTTATTATATTTGTGTGTGTATATATATAATATTTGTCTACTAGAAAGATGCAAAGTGCTATATAAAGCTTCTTAAACATAAATGTTGTTACTGCTTTACCCCTTTACTTTAATACAGGCTGCATTACCTTCAAGCTAAATTGGAAGCTCATTTCACACTCTAAACCCCGTGTCTTATTCCCAGTACTGTATTCATCCCCTCTTCTAGCAGGAGAAGTCTTCATTTACTACATGAGAGCGCTGATCTGGTTGAAAAGCCAGGTTTTTCTCTCTCTGTGTTCTTTTTCTAACAGTTCAGTTCCCTTTAATGGTTCACAGAGTGGCCAAAAACCTGTCACACCTACGCAATGGAAAAGAGGGAAAAAGGGTGGGGGAGGAAATGAGCAATTAGTTTAGGTGAAAGCAAGACTGTTTTCTAATGCAGGACCAACATACATCAGCTTAGCATGATATAAACTGTAGCTCCTGAGAAGGACAGTGGTCATTGTAGTAATCATTTTTACCTGAAAAATGTATCTGTATATTAAGATAGTCAAATATCACAAAACATTGTTTCCATGGATAATGCATCTTTTTCAGTTTGAAGTAGAGATACTTCAGAAAAATGAAGAACATTAACCAGTACTAAAGATTGGGCTTTCTGATTTTCTAATGTGTGCATAGATGCCTGTTCCATTCTAATTGGTACCTCAGGGTTTGAGGCTGGTCACAGGTTACAATTTTTCATATGTTATCAGCAGCAGAGAACTTCTTGTGGGTAAGGAGATCAGCTGTAGTAATCAGATACAACTCACAGCAGGATTTATGTAGTATAAAGATGCAATTACATATAAAGCAGTAAGTGATGATCTGCTAGTAGTCCTTGAAAATAGCAGGTATCTGTTAGGGAAATTTATAACAAATTAACAAAAAGATCATCTGTTTCTCCATGTGCTTGGGGGAGTTCTCTAATTTATTTGGCCTCCAGTATCTTCAAACAAAAGTGCCAGTTATAATCTGAATATATACTGAATGACGTGGCATGCACTTTTATTCAGGAAATTTGATGCTTATCTTGCACTAAACCAGGGAATGCTTTTACCTTTTTTAAGAGTCAAATATTCTCTGATGGATACCCTTATCAAAATACTAAGGAAATTAGTGTGTACTTTAGATGGCCTTTGAACGTAATGGAGATTGCCTGTTTGAATTGAGAACTACTCAGTAAATGCTTCATCTGTAGTCCTGTCATCTAACCTGGGGGCTATTTGGACTGTCTTGTGTTCAAGCCAGGACCTTCTCTGGCAGTCTCTCATTAAAGATGACATAAACAGATGGCCATGTTTTCCAGTACTAAGACTTCCCCCCCCTTCATTGTGTCTCTCAGATGGGACCAGAATCTTGTTACAACTCCTCAGGGCAGACTTTGCTTCCTATATATGCCCAGGTAACAGGCAGCTGACCTTTGGTCATAGCAGCACAATGTGGGCTTACCTGCCTAGCTGTATTTTTCTTTTCTGTCTGAACAATTAAGAATTTTGGTAGAAATTTAGTAGAAGCTGTTGTCTTTGCTGTTGACATGCTGTCTTCCTTAAGTGTCAGGAAGGAGTTTGAGCTGAACTTCTGGTAAGCTGTAGGATGCTGTCTCTCACAGTGCCTCTGTGTTCCACACCTCTCTCCTTGCTATACTCCTCAACATTTGGCAGTATTTTCAGCACATATGCTGCAGGTTACATATTACCCCTGCCCCTGGCATAAAAAATAAAAGGTAACTTTCTTCCTGCTTTGTGTTTTGCAGACCATTAGATTATTTGTTGTCTATATCTCTGCATGCTGTGCACTTCTATATTTTATTTTTTTTTTTTTAAACTTGCCACTTTGACATTTTGAATTTAATTTAGAAGAGATCTAGTCTGGGAATCTCTTGCTGGCAGGGTATTTCTTTCTCTCTCCCCTTCCTACCCTCCCACTCTCTTGGAGATGTTAGTGATTTACCCTTCTTGTGAAATGACTGTCTCTAAATTAGAAGCACACACAGTGCCCACCATCTCAGGAAAAACATGCCATATTTCATATATTGTTCCTTTTTCCAGCTGGATCAGAGAATCATACGAGTCTCACTCAGTTTTTTTAGCTTAGATTTCTGTGGGCATTTCATAATCACCTGTTAAGAAAGAACTGAAAATGTCTTGTAAATTACAGCTGACTTCAGTTGGTATCATTGAGGCTGTAGTCTTTTGCTATGGAGCTGGCCAGTATCTCCCATTTCTCTTCAGTCGTAGGAGTTTATGAAAGAAAGATGTAACTCCCTGCTAGCTCTGAGCTGACCAGTTTAAAAGGAATGTGAAAGCTGTGGTCTAGTCCTGCTTAGTGCCTCCTGTCAGAGTTCAGGCATCAGTTGATCTCAGCAGACAGACACACCCTCTAGCTCAGGAGACTTTGAAAACACAGACCCTTAGGAAATCAGGAGATTATTTCGGAGGAGCTTTACTTCATGCTTGCTTTTTGTTCTTGTGCTCTTTCCTTGGGCATCTGCTGTACATTAAAGAGCTAGGACACCGTGCTAGATGCACCTTTGGTCTGACCTAAATGACTGTTTTTATGTTCAGTTTCTGGAAATTGCTGGAGGATCTGTCTCTTACAATGGTGCCAAGGTCCCAAATTTCAGCTACTCTTTTTGAGTTGGAAGTAACATCACATCGTTCCCTCTCCAAATTACAGTACCAGACTACCAGATGTTATTATATCTGCTCTCTCGGTTATCTAATTCAGCTGTTAATAAGGAGTATTCCAGGAAGCCTAAAAGATAAATCTGCTAAGAAAAGAGCTGAGAGAAATCTAGATGGTGACTACACTGAGCTCAGTTTATGGCTTATCTTTACCACGCATCATCTTTTCACACCTGCTGGAGCAAAATGAGAGAATAATTTGAAACACCAAGAAATGTATCCCTTCTTTTTCTTCCTCTCTTTTGGGGAAGTAAGGAATTGAACTAATACAGAGTAATGGAAGACTGTAGACAAGATTATACAAGATTAGACCATTCAATTCTAAGTACTTACAGCTTTCTCCCAGCTAGCCTCATCAGAGAGGCTTCAAAGTAAAACTGCCCGTGGACCTCCAAGATTAGGTGTTCAGTCACTTTCCCTCTTGGAAAGAGGGAGGCTAGTGTCCTATTCTAGACCATCTGCAGCACCTGGAGATTAGTTTGTGGGTTTGGACTTCGAATATATCTATTCTATTTTATAAATCACCTGGACAGCAGACACACCTCAGTTGCTATTGCTGATGACGTTAAAGAAAGTGCTTATCCTTAGCCTCTGCAGCCCAACGTCCTTAATGGGCATGTCTGTCCTGATTACAACAAGTATTGATTCAGGATCATTTGCCTTAACCCATAAACACCTCAGTCCAAAAATTGTCCATTTCTTCACTGTTGTTGGCTTTGAAGTCAGTAGAGCAGAGTCCACTTTGATCCTTACTCAAAATGCCTAGTTCATAAAGGCTGTCCTTACAACATTGCTACTATTGAACTCTTACCTGCACCAGGACAAATTATTCAAGAGGCTGAGCCTAAGTTTGTTGGCTACACAGATGCTGGAGGGGATTAGCTATGGTTTTGTATTTGCACCTCTACTGTGTCTCTTGCACCTAAAACTGTTTCCCAGGTTGACTAGCTGTCTTTGTAGGAGCGACTTGATCTGAGACATGGAGACTACATAACGTTAGTGGCAGAACCCTCCTTCTTTTCCAGGAAGGCAAGATTGCTTGACACCTCCCATTTTTTTATCAATGTATTTTGACCGTTTTCAGGCTTAAGGCTTTTGGTTTGCTGCCCAGTGTCATTCCAAAACTAATGTTCATATAATTATGGAATGATTCAGATCCAGAACAGTGTGCTTAGCATCTTTTCCAGTACTTGATGTCATCTCAGGATTCAGAGTTAATGGACAACACAGTAGCAAGTTACTAAGTGAGGGACAAAATGGAATATACTCATTGCTACTGTTCTGAGAAGTAGTTGGAACAGTTACTGTTTATACATCCTGTGGGACTCCACACTGTTTGACAAATTATTGTAGAATTTTGGGGTAAAGGGTCTGTGGGCATCAGCAGTCTATTATGTATAAAATATTATGTTTAGTACAAAGTATGCTCCTATGCCACTTTAAAATGTTTTAACCACCTGATACTTACATGCTGGTGCCTAATTTTGCTTTCACATCACCAAATCCCCCCATGAAGGGGCAGTTGGATCTTTGTATTTGTTCAGCCAAAAAAAAAAAAAATCAACCTTTTGTGGAATTACTTTTCCTGAAAAGTTGTTTTCTGAACTGAAAAGATTGTGGTTTAAGCAAAAATATGTGCATGTGGCTATGAGTGCTGGAATTGCTGAAGCCTAAGTCCTGATAGTTACTGGATTTTTTTTTTCTCTGCTTATATTAACAAAAAAGGACATTTCAGCACCTTCAATGCTGGTATTATGAGTAAACCTCTTTGTCTAAGAAAAGAATAAAAAGCTTTACAGTTATGTTATTTAGTGGTAGGGAATATATATAATCTTTGTAGACATATTTTTTTTCCTGTTTGCTTCTCAGCCAACCAGGAAGTCTTAAATAAAGTGGAGGTTCAGTATGAGACACTCCCAGGATGGGATACGGATATATCAAATGCAAGGACGTTTGATGAGCTGCCTGTAAATGCACAAAACTATGTTCGCTTTATAGAAATGGAATTGGGTGTTCCTGGTAAGTAAAACAGATTTTGTTGTTTTGGTTTTTTCCTGCTCCGTGCAACCTATCTTGTATTTGGCCTTAAAGAACATTCAATACATTGAAAACTAGTTTGTAGCTGTGCTTATTCTTATGTACCTGGTAACACCTGTAATTATTGTTTTTCTTCTTTTTATCTCTCTAGTTAGCTGTTGAACTGAAAATTTTCAGAAGTTGTAATATGCATTCTTTCTTTGGCTTATACCGTAGTTCTTGTTCAACTGAGATTTTTTTATAACTTAAGCTTAAGTGTTTTTCAGAGTGGTTATACACAGAGTTTAGTTATGCTGCCATTATAAAGTCAGTGGGACTACTGGTGTGTTAATGTGATTAAATATATATGACAGTAAGAGGTCCTAAACTAACAAGTTTCTCTTATGCTCCCTAATAAAGAAGTTCCTGTGGTTCCATCCAAAGCTGGGAATTAGGAGATGCTGCAATTCTTTACTTTTGTGATAGTTTCTATGTATCTTTTGTCCTGTGAACTGGAAAACGGATTTATTTATTATGGCAGCTTCAAGACTGTTCCTGCTTTTCTAAGTTACCAATGCATTCTTACTTTGAGAACAATAGACATGATTATGATTCCTTAACATACTAATAGTATATGCTGTGTTTTTCTTCAGACTACGGTACTTAGGATCTTAAGCGCTTAAGAAAAGTTTTTATCAGATACAATCTGATCTTGCTTTGTGTTACTTAAAATAAAAGTTTGCTTTTCTCTCCTGCAGTTAAATGGATTGGAGTAGGGAAATCCAGGGAATCAATGATCCAGCTGTTTTAAAGATTTCAGAGGCATGGAAGAAAGCACACTCCTCAAAAGACTGCTCGTTCTTAAATGCATTAGTAGCCCGCAAAGCAAAGATGTTGGGAAGATAGATTTTTGCATGGAAAGAAATGCTAGAGTTGATAACCCCAAATCAATCGCTACTCCTGAAAGAGGACATGAACCTGTATCAGTTCAACTGCAATTTCCAGGACTCTTGTCATTATTGTTCAAGGTGCCATCATATTTTTTTTTTAATTTACCTGATATTTACTTCATAATGTAATTCCTGTTTGAAAATCTAAGGTAGCAATTCTTTCATGACTGTTTGTCTTTGTTATCCTCTCTCTGCTTTTGGCGGTGTTACTTCCCTGAAATTTTAGACAGTAAAAATAATGCAGTTTTGCACAGATAGTTTTACATCCTCATTATTTGTATTCCTAAAGCTGTTGTATTCTTAATGGCTGCTGTTGTGTGTGATTAAAGAGGGGGATTCTGATTTTATAATGCTATAAATGCTGTCTAAATTATTGTGTGATCTGTTTTTTAAAAAAAGATGTGATGCCAAGTTGTTAAGAATGTCCAGGTTTTTTTAGCTGTGTAACACAGAAAACTTACTCTTTGTAACTCACAGAGGATGCTCAAGTGTTTACCAGGAAGTGTGCCCAGAAAGTTAAAAATTGATATTGTAAAAAGTTCATTTGCGATTATTAAAGAACCATTTTGATTTTGAGTTAAATGTTTTATAATATTACTCTTTTTTTTTTTTTCCTGGCATTTTAAAAACCCTACACTTCTCTGCTTCCAAGGCACATATCTCAAACTGTTTCCCTAATTAAATGAGGTTATATTTATATTCAGTGAGAAGTCTAACATTTTGATGCCCTTTTAAATTCCTTTCTATGTAGCCAATAGAAGGTCTTTCTCTGGAGAACTGGCAAAGCACAGATACTTTTGTAATTATAGATTGAAGATGCTTTAGAAATAACATTTCAAGTTAGGGAAAATAACAAGTATTCACCTCATGACATCTGACATATTTTGCCTTACTAGTGTTGGGAAATGTTCTAGATTTTTTTTAATTTATAACCATTATTATATATTCCAATGAATGTGATTTCTTTTGGCAATGACCCAATAATTACATAATGCCTTTCCAGATTTTTTTGACAATTACTTTGTTTTCACACACTATACTATGGTATTCATGTGCTTCCTTTTTACTTCAAATAAAACTTACTTTGTTTCCTAAACCCAAGTTTGTATTGGGGTGGGGCAGTAGTTTTAGTTTAGTAGATTTCGGCTATGCTGGTGAATATAAGAAACTTAATGCAAAATAGAAGATATGAGGCCTTTGAGATTATGTCTTAGGTAACCAGATGTTGCTGGAAATGGAATAGATTTGTTGGATTGATGCTGCTGCTGAGGTATTCAGCACAACATTTGTGTTCTCATTGGACATAAAATTGCTTATCATAGGGGGAGGAACAGGAGGATTGAAGGATGAAACCACTGATATTTAAGGAGCGTTTTCTGTTGAATTGTTTGCACGTGACAAAGCAGTTAGGGTGTGTATTTTACTTGTGTAGTATGTGGAAAGAGGAGGATACCACAGAATGCTCGAAAATTGGCAAATACATTGAGAGGCCTTTGTGTCAGCATTGCATGTAAAGATCGTTCTCAGCATTAGAAACCAACTTCATACTCATTTTTTTCTGGATGGGGTGAGGGTCTAGTTCTGCTCTCAGCCTCGCAGTCTAGCAAAGAACTGTATCATCCCTCCCTAGCTAAGGGACATCTTGAATTAAAGATCTCTTCCTGATTGCCTGATGAAGGAGGGATATAACTGTGTGAAACATAAATTCCAATGTTCATTTAGAAGGAAAAAGCCAATATTACTATCTTCTGGGTGATGGAGGGAATTGACCTTGCAATGTGAACAATAGGTAATAATTACTAAGTATTCTTGCCTTCCTGTAGCTGTAGGAGGCGACGAGGGGATTTGTGCTGTGAGTGAAACTACTGGCCCTGGACCAGGGGCCTAGCTGGTTCAAGGAGTGAGTAAATAAATAAATGAGGGCATGCGTTCTTTCTACAGTGAGTGAATAAACGAGGGCTTTCTATGTAGTTGTGTTTTGCTTCTATCAAGGAGAGACCTTCAAGTTCAAGGCTTGTTTCAATGTAACTCCACTGTACAAACTACCCTTGTTTTTCAGTTGAGGAATTCATATTTCCAGATGCAGCAGGATTCCTAAGCAATATAGCTATGGCCTAAAACGATACAAAGTGTTTCTGCAGTTAAAGAAACAAAACAGAATTGTCTTGGGTGGAAGAGTGATTCATGTTCTGTTGCCTTCTTTTAAGTTCAGCTGAGATTTTTCTTTGATTCTTCCACTCAACTGCAGGCCTGGAAAGTTGAAAACATCCTCCTACCAGTACTTGTCCAGATAAGTGGTCCAGGATCTGTTGGCATATATTTACTCTCATGACCTGGAATGAAGAATTTTTCTCTTTAAATTTCAGGTGGCTAGACTTGGCATCTGTAAAGCTTATTATGTTGTCCCTGGATGCCGGTTTCGCATAAGCTTTGCTAGTGTGAGTTCTTGGACGGGTGCACAAACACTTTCCTGGTGTCGAAGAATAGCTACGGAGGTTGTATTCTGCCAAATTCTCCCCTTCCCCAGTGCTACTCATTTGTACCTATGGGGAAATAGGCTGGGATGTGTTATCACCAACCTGAATGTTGTGGAAACAAACGTTAAAAGTTATGGAGGTAGTTTCAAGCGCTGTATGCTCTCCTCTTGAAACCATGCTGTGTTCAACTATGGAAGCAAGGAGGAAGAAGAGAACACACAGCCACCAGCAGTGTGTTTAGCAGGGGCAGAGATACATGTCTTTGAAGGCACTTGTAGTCTTTTCTCTAGCCGAAATTCATTGTTCTGCTTTTTTTTCCCCTCTTCATTAGTTAAGAGCTCTTTGGCCTCAAAGGAATTGCCACGCTGATTGGCAAAAGGCTTTTGGTTGTCTGTCACAGGCTAGTGGTAAGCTGTAGTAAAAGGAAGAACCTTTGTACTTGAATGACAAGCATGTATTTCTCAGGCCCTTCCTGTATCCTCCCTTCCTCCATGGAGTCTCTTCTGTTGCTAGCATGCAAGGGGAGAGGACGGCAGCAGAGCAGTTGAAATTGTTTCCCCTCCAAGCATCCCCTCCCACTAGCGGGATGTTTTCAGGAGGCATGGATACCTGTTAGACCTGACAAAGCTGGTGACAGACAAGGTATTTTGATCTCGTGACATTCTTGCTGCCACTGAAATATTTACAGTTCTCCTAGACTTGTGCTGTAGGGCAGCATTTAATAACCCTTATGTCCCTACAGCTTAGTGAGCCTCCTTTACTAACAAATAGGAGGGGGAGTGAGGGGACTTCTGCTGCTTAGCCTTTCCATTTGTATTCCACGTGTAATTGGGTTTTGGCATGTAGCTAATGGACAAAACCTTCAGATAAAGTGGCAGACAGATAATGTTGATGTAATGCATGACAGCTGCTTTCGTCTGTCATCATCCTGGAAATCTACTTTCCAGTAGAAGATTATAGTTTCCCTTTGCTGTCACAGCCAGCTCCCTTAATGAAACAATCAAAGGTTTGGCTGGTTTAGAAAAAGTAAAAAGGCAAAGTAGCTGGGAATGAAGATAAGGGACAGCTCAGTCAGGTGAGTTTTCTCCTGCTCATTCTGTTCCTCGTCTCTGAAACGGTGAAACTTGGGAAACCTAGCGGTACAGTAATCAAGCACGCTTCTTGCAGTGTGTGGCAGCTTTGCCTACTGAAGGCAGACCACTGTGCATACCTACATGCACACAGATGATGCATTGTTTGCGGAGACTTACAACTGTACACCATTCTTGGTTGCTCCGAGTGTTATTCTGTGATTCTGTTATGACTCATTTGATATGTCATCTTTAAAATACCTTGCAGTAAATACACATTCTAATATCTTCCATTCAACTTTAAACAGATAGCGGTGAGTTAAATCCTGATGTTCTTCACTGCCACTTCAGAACTATGAAGTGTATCAAAGCAATGTGTTTTCTTACGTTGTTTTAGGTTTTTTTCAGTGATAAATCAGTTTGTGCATGCGTCGAGGTACTCACTCTTCAGCTCTTTCGATACACACTCCTGGCAGCATCAATGGTGTGTTTGAGTAGCTATTTTTGGATAACAATCTGCGCAAGTACAAATAGTTTGCCGTGTTCCTGTTCATTGGTTGCCCTCTGCATATTACAGAGGGAACTGGGATACCTGAGTGTTGGTCATGGAGAAGAGGGTATGGCTTTGGGGGACGGGTGGCAGCTCCTTTTTGGAAAAAGTGAAATGGCTATTCACTTTTTTTTTTTCCGTGTAGTTTAGGACTAGGCTGTTCACAGCAGAGCTGAACCTCCATAGTTCATCTTCTATGCCCCTCTCGACAGGAAAAACAGCGCAGATCACTTATTTGTGTTGAGATGTGCCAAGTCAAACGCTGCTTTGTATGAAGTCTGATTGTACTGGTCACTGGTGGTCTTTTTCGTTGTTTTTTGAAAATGGGCGTACTTCCTGAGAGCTGAATTGTCAAAGTCAGGTTGGAATGGAGTTTCAGCTTCATAGTTTACTGGAGCTGGTTGCGACTTACTGAAAGGTCTAGGCAAAAATCATTCTGTAATCTCATGCTGACATATGGTATGTAAATACCATGATCCACCCAAAGGGTAGCCAGCATTATAAATGTACTTTCTAATCTCCTGCTGAAATGAGCACTCTGTATAATGCAGCTGTAATCTAATAGATATTAATAGCCTGAGAATGTACAGTAAAACCTTAATAATTCAGTATTGTTCGATTGGCTCCATCTGACTCGTAATTAGCACGATAAGGGTTGTGCCTCTTGGAGTCGAGCAGCTAACAGCATTAGTTTAATATTGCTAGCATTTTTAAAGCCTTCACTTCCCAACAGAAATAACCTATGACATTTTCTTTTTTTTTTTTTTTTTAAATTGAACATCTTTTGAAGTTGATGTGCAAGACAACAAATTTTCATAGGCGGAAAAAACCCAGCATTTTTTATTATTTTACAGTTTTCATTCTAGATTCTCATATAAATAATAAATTCAGGTCATGCAGCGCTCCTGGTATGGCCAAAAACTTTTGGATGTAGTTTTGGTTTACTCTGCCCGGATTCTCTTGTTGTTCCTCTTTTAGGCCAAAGCCATAAAAAATCATTAGCGGTTGTTGCAAGGTTGCTCACAATAGGCATAAAAGGGAGAGGCTTATTCCACAGGTCTTATGGGTTTACTTTGACGCACAAGTTTACCCTGGAGCTCCTCTGGATGCGTGCACCTCATGGACCCGTCCTAGTTGCCCGGCATAGAAGCCATGGGCATCCTTTCCAGGATGAACAACTGAGCTGATAAAGCAAGCAAATAGAAGATAGTGAAGGTACGAGCAGGAGACTAGAGGGCAGGGATCCCACCCAAGCTGTGGAAAAGCAATTTTTCTTTTATATGGCAGTTATGGAAAATAATTATTTTTGTCCCAGTGCAGAGCTTACAAGCAAATAAGGGAATGGCATTGATAACAGGGCAAAATGGTGCATCTCTTGGAAAAAATGCGAGTTTGTGCAGATGACTGCACTTTTTTTTTTTTAATTTAAGAAATAAAAACTGGGCAGACTTTTTTTTTCTATTCCCCTCTCTCCCAAAGTACCCTTCTGAAATACTAAGAGTCTTGAGCAGATTTTTTTTTTTTTTTTTTTTTTTTTAAATACAACTAACTGATAGCCTAACCTGTGTGCATAGTGCATGCTGTGTGGTTCAAGAGGTTTACCCTGGTGGCAAGGTGGGTGCAGGGTCCTTAAACTCCCTTAGTTTCTTTGAAGAGCACAACATGCCAAAGTCCCACAAGCAATGATGTAAAATGTTTTGGGGTTTTTTTGGTTTTGTTTGGGTTTTTTTTTGTTAAGGAACTGCTGACAGACCTAAACTTGCTTACATGGCTTGAATGTATTAATCTCCATGTTGGTAGCAAAATCTGCTATGGAATAGCATACCTCTTGGGAATCCCCCAGGAAGAAAGAAACCAGTGTATGCACGTAGAAGTAAAGCTTCTACAAAACATTACATTTTGCAGGGATATGGGAGTTTCTAGAATGAGTTGTTCAATATTAATGGCAGGTCCTAGAGCAAAAACGAATGCAGGAACAGTTCAGTTATTTAAACAGCATTTTAAGATTCAGGGCAACAGCATGCTGTTCTGTGACTCAAAGCAGAATTTCTCTGCAGACTGATTCATTCTATCAGTGGGCCTGATGGTCTGCTCGTTTGTCACAATTAAGTAATAATTTATTCTACCTCCCAAGGAATGAAATTTGGCTGCTGTGTATAAAACACTGACTCACCAGTATTTGGAAAACAAAGTAGATGTTTTCTGCATTTTGTTGCCCATCAGAGTCGGTGAATTATGTTTTGGCCACTCCATGGCAACTGCTTCACTGGAGTGTGAATTAATATTGCAGCTCCAGGAGTCTGATGTTAAAATCTGTTCTCACCAGAGACCTTAGTCAGGCTATTGTTTTGAACAGTATCATGACACAGCTGACTTAGGAATTCCTTGAATACATCCACACTTTGATTTTTTCTTTTTTTTTTCCCCCCCTAAAACTAGGACCAGTGCCTCTTCCACTTAGTTGTAGAGCAGGATGTTAAAAACTCCTTATCCAATTCAGTCTACAAAAGAATGTATTTTCATGCTTTAGATAATTTCAGTCAATCTTGGAAAATGTAGCTATACAACATACAAAAGTGACAACTCCAACACTCACACACAATATGAGCTGTTGAGAATCACTGTTATATTTACCAACATTTCCATATCCCTGTCAGCCAGTTCTGCACAACTGTTGTCCTCATCATAGTCAGCAGCACCAACAGAGATTCCTCTCTTCTCCCTGGGGGTGATTCTTCTCCTCCAGTTTTACCCTCAGCACCGCTTCAACAGGAAGGGTTACTCATCCTTCATCTTTGGGAAATGGGGGACGTTGCATCTTCCTTCCTCCTGCAGGAATCGTGTACTCAGGTTGCCAACGCGGTTACCTGAGATAGTGCCAGTAGCGACTGTGTCCTCCTGCAGAATTGACAGGCTTTATTCCAAACCTGTCTCCTGGCGTACACTTCAAAGGCCCTCATGTCAGAATTTATCTTCCATCCTGGATACATCCAGGAATATTTTTTTTTAATTTGCCATTTGAATGTCTAGGTTACAGCTTTCTCTTGGCCTTTGCACGCAAAACTTTAGTTACAAGTCTCAGGAGCTTTTGAGACTTGATGTGTTAAAAAAAACTCATCACGCTGTGAACTGAAGTGGCTTTGGTCTTCCCAGACAAGGGCTGTAAAGCCCAGTAGGAAGGAGAGTGCCTAAGACGAAGGTTAAATGGTTCATGTAGGGGCCTGTGGGGAGCCTGCGACAGACAAGGGAAAACAGTACATCCAAATGCTACAGCCGTACGGTTAAAATTGTGGGACCATCTGTAATCTACCTGCTCATGCTAAATAATCATCATCCATTAAAAAAATATCCTAATCTTGTTTTTGAAGCTTATTGAACTTAACAGACTGAAAAAGGAATCTTTTCCCAGGATGAAATCCATTCTGCTTTTGAAAACTGAGGAAGCCCATAGCAATGAAGTTTATTTAACTAAGTGGGATTTCTGCTTGCAGATTGGGCGAAGACTGAGGCTGCAACGTGAGTTTACCTTTCCTGCTTCACCTGGTGGGGCTGCAGATTTCGGTAAATCATGGAATGAAGATGAGGAAAGGCAAAGCTTGCAGGCACAGTCCCGGGGCCTGTCTGCCTGAGCTCCCTTTCCCTTGCTAAGCTGCTGCCAGTGAGTCCCCCTACCTCACTGAGCCTGGCTTTGTGATGGTCTCTCCTTTCCTTGCTGGCAGTGGAAGGGGATGCCCCTCAGGGTGGGGGGCACAGTCCCACTGGTGTCAGCCTCGTGAGTGCATTTTTGAGTGCTGTTTGAGCCCATTTACTAGCAATGTTGCAGTTGGCTCTATACACAGTAAAATGTGGTGGTGTCGTGCCGAAGATAGGGATCTAAGGAGAGTAGGAGCTAGGCAGGGGAGGGGAAAAGCTAATCTGTCGGCAGATCGCTTGGGAACTTGTGCCCCTGCATGCCTGAGCCACCATCTGAGTGCTGCTGCATGTTGGTAAATTAGACTGTGGTGTCTGCTAGTCCTCAGGTTGCATTCTCCTCAAGTTACTCCTAGATCTGAGCGTAGGAGCATCTCCTGATGGTGGTGAAGTTTAAAGGAGAAAGTCAAAGGGTGAGAAAACAAAAAAGAAGATCCTGACGCAGGAGGGAGTCCAGGGGTGGATCTTTAAGGGTAAACCTTTTTCTGATGTTTTATGGGACATGCTCTCTAGTACATCTTACTTGCTGTAGACAGAAGGTAAAGCTTTCTTTAACCTTTCTGGAATTAGAAACGTAGACGTAATTTGAGTCTGGATTTTTTTATGCACCCTTCTGTCATATGAGCTACGACCTACATCTTGGCACTGAAATAGGGAGACTTCAGGAAAGATGTGGTGGGGCAGGGAAGAAGGAAGAGCTTTGTTCGCTTCTGTGTCTTGGGACAGGAGGGCCCATGAGGGGCCTAGGATGAGAGGAAGGTCTCTACGTCCATGGATCCAGATGGACACTTGCCTAACCTGCCCTGAGACTTCACAGCTTCCCCCATGATCTGCTCCGGTGTTTCACCCCTAGCAAGTCTCTCCTACCATCCACCCAGATCCCTCCTGCTGCAGTTTAAGCTTGCTGTTTGGTGGTCTGTTTGCTATGAAGAGGGAGGACGGATTATTCCCTTTTTTCTCTGCAGCAGTATTTTGGGTATTTATTACGTCCCGGTTGTTTTTTCCTCAGGTTGATCGATTCTCTAAAGCTCTGCCTGGAGGTCATTTTTAGAGATCCCCAAGGCTGTTTGGGGTTTTTTCTTTGTCACTGGGGAGCTGGGACCTGAAAATGGTCACCAATGTTTGCAGTACTGAGTGGAAGGGATGGATGACATCATGTATCTTGCATCAGGCAATCTAGTTATGGATTCTAGTATATTTCCCATCTTTCCAATGGCATAGCTTTGCTGATTCATATTTCAGTTTTGCGTTTGCCCTATTGATATTTTTTTGCTTACACGTAGAAACTTGCCCACAGCCTTTACTGCATTGCAACCTGTTTTTCTCAGACTGTTTCTCGGATTTGTTAAAATAATTTTGAACTCTTACCCTGTTTTCTAATGTACTTTCAGTTCCTCTCAGCTTTGCATCACCTGCACGTTTACTAAGTACATTCTCTATTCCATCACTGACTTCACTGATGAAAAATTTGAATTGTACGGAAGCAGGACCTGTTCACTGAATACATTTTGCTGTTTTGATGCTGAACAGACCACATTCCTTCGTTTGCTTATGAAAACATCCTGCAAGTCTGAACATGTCACCATTTCAGCTGATACCAGCAGCTTGCTAATGCTGTGAAGAAAACATCCTGATCTTCACCTTGTGGTTGCTGAGCCTTGTGCCAAACCAGTTTGCCTTGCTAAATAGGCAGAAAACGAACCTCTGAAAAATAAGTGAAGAGCTGTCTGTGGGTTTGGCGGGTTGACTTGACCCAGCGAAAAGTCCAGGGAGCAGTGGAGGTGCCACCTGGGAGGGGGTGACACTCAACCACGACGTGTAACTTCACACTGAGCCGGTGTCAGGGCCTTGCCGAAGCCAGGAGGTGGTGTTTGCTGCTTTCCCTGGGGAGAAAGGTTGAGTTTGCCTGTTGGATAAAGAATTGGGAGGCAAACACAAACAATGTTTTTATTAATTTCTAGCTAATTGTAATTTAATCATAACTTAATCATAACTAATGATTAAGTCTAAGGTGATCTTAGATAATCTCTAAACAGATGATTTTTTTGTGCCACACTTTTTTTTTTTTTTTTTTGTGTGTGTGTGTGAGAACACCCTAAGCATACTTGTTCAGTCAACCACAAGTCATTAATTAATATGAATGACAGCTCTGCATACTGAATCGCTGGAAAGCAATTCCAAAACGGACATACATATCTCACACATGTGCTCTCTGGCTTGCCTCAGTATCAGCCTGCCTCCAGAGCAGGATGGAAAGATGGGGTTTCTTCACGTCGGCCACCTAGCTCGCTCCAGGCTCTGGCTGCCCCTGCAGGAGCCCAGTTCAGCTCTCACCCAGAGACAGGCGACGATGGTTGGATTCAGTCCTGGCATTTTGCAACCCTTCTGTCTTCCTGTTTTCTCCCCTCAGACAAAATTGTGTCAATCCAGTGATCTTGGCAGCCTGCAAGCAATGGGGCGGCACGGGAGGCAGAAAGTGGTAGTGGCAGAGGGCACGTGCATGAGCTGACCCCGGGCTTCGCTGGGTTGGCCATTTAGAAGAGAAGGAGCAACTTACCAATTCAGTGCAGTCAGTAAGGGAGGAAACACAGCAAACAGAGAAACCTGCAAAGTTATTTTTGTAGTCATTCCTGGGGACAGAGCTGGAACTTAAAAGCCCCTTGGCTGTGACACCAGTCTTGCTTACGGCCATGGTCTGTGCCCAGTAGCAGGCGAGTGGGAGATTTCATTCCTTATTTTAAAAAATCCAACTCATTCAAAAAACCTTTTTTTTTTATTTATTTAAAAAAATAAAGAAAAGGATTGAGAAGATTTGCCTCTTTCCTCTTATCTTACCCCCGCAGAAGTTTCCCAGCACCACACTTTCATTGAAGCTCACTCTAAGCGTTTCCCTTTGGATGCTGCCCTCTGCGAAGGCCTTTTGGATGGAGGCAGCTGGAGAGCTGAATTTTGCCGGCAAGCTGAAAGCAAGCACCTTTGCCACCTG